AGAATACTGCGTGCCACCAGTATATATACGTCATAAGCTGAATGACCAATCATTTGAATCACGGATCATATGACTAATCATCAGATGCCTAATTTGCATAAGAATAACCTGAAGAGGGGGGAAGAATGATTGATATTATTTTATAAAAGTGGTTTTGGTTTATCATAGGAATAATACTAAAATATCAGTAATGAAAATATATGTATATATTTCACGCGTTAGTTGAAACTAAGTTAACTGCCAACCGTTCCACTCGTCCAAAACTCCCTGAGTATTTTTGTGTGAATAAATATGAGTTTTATAAATACCTCTAGGCTTATCTTAGCAAGGAAGACTGGTTAATATTTATTCCCCTCAAGTCTCGCTCTGAGTAATAAACGTTCTAGTTGCCTTACCTTATCACTCTCATGCGGAACGAAATGGAAATGACAAACACTTCGTACATACCTCAATCACCAGAAACATTCACATAGAATAATATTGTTGAACTTCACATCACGAACAAGATGGTTGGTATTAGTCAACGATCAATACAAAGTGCGAAAATAAACGCCGAATCTTACATAAATATGTAAATAAGCATAATTACATGTTTATGGTTATATGAACAAACGAAAGAGTGGATTCTGTTAAATATATAAAAACATTAATCAATAAAAGCATACAACAGTGACGCGATGTTGGTCTTTAATCAATAAAAACACGTAACATGAGAGATGCCCTTAATCAATAAAATAGATATAGTAACAAAGAGATGATTGGTTCTAGTCGATAAATAGTACCATTATGTAACAGTAAATAGAGAGTTTGTTTCTGTCAAATATGTAGAAAAGTAAATATTATTTTTGCTAGCTTTCAAGATGAGTTCTTGTTCTCTCACACACAAAAAAACAAAACCGAAAATAGTGTTGTTTATTAAAAGAATTCTACGTGACAACCTCTATCTGAATTTCGGGAGAAAATAAATATTTTAGTGATGCTACGCTGTAAAAGTTAAAAAAGACTAAAATGAATGGAATTAACTCTATGAGAGGTAATTAAGGTTCGAAGCAAAAATACATTTTAGATCAGAATAAAAGGACTGGGTAAATATTTTTACTTTTTCAATCAAGCTCTAATGCATGTTTTTGTGTGTGTTTACTTTCGTTTGCATTCACATTCTTTTTTAAAAATTGTTACATGCTCGTTACGCTGCGCTCGTCTATTATAATATATTGGAATTTAATTTTGAAAACATTGAATAACTGAAAACAAAATGGAAACGGAATAGTTACAGTTCACTTACTTAATATAGTTCACACCGTAACAGTCGTTGTTCATGAAAACAAACGATGTAAATAGCAACTAGACTACTATAATGTCTGTCGTATCCCACCCGGCCTGATGAGCCCTGGTATTGAAGGAAAGGCCTCGTCGGCACTGGATGTGGCAGATGTAATGTGGTTGGCACGTTATAACATATTCTTCTTTGCTTTTACTCATGAGTTCTTAGAATAATATTTTTCTTCAATGAATTTATTTGATGATTAATAGTCTTATTATCTTAACTTCCTTAAATATGGAATCTGCTTCTTCTTAATCACTATTAAGGACTTTCAGTTTAGGTTTCTAGTGTGATGAAATAGAAACAAATAATTCTGAAACATGCTTGTAAAAAGAAGGATCATTTAGTTAAAGACGTTATAAATTATTTAATAAGTATGTTTTATCATAAATCCAGAAAATTCCTATATTAGTACCTGATGCCTTATAACATTTAATTTTTAGCTTTATGAGATATCTACATAATATATAAATCAAATATTTTACTGGTTATGCGATATTTCTTTCATAAAAAAGTTAGTTTCGAGAAAAGCTTAGGTCCCTTACATTTTACTCATTAATGAATGAAGTGTATGTGTTTCCTCTTTTTTTTTTCAAAACAAAATAAAACATATATTCGTTCTTCAAACCCTTTAAATGTTAACATTTAGCCATCTGTACATATTATCCAATCTCGTACATTACAAAATGAATATTGAATTTAGTTAATACAATATACTAGATATTTAATTCTTTCTTTCTTTTCTGAAATTTAATAGAGTTTAAAAAATAAAATTTCTTTAATTATAAGACACAGTAAAGCTCTTGTTATACGATTTTCTAGTAAAAGTCTAGGTTTGGTGTTAACTCATAAAAATCTATTATATTTAAATAAAACATATATATAGAATTTTAAAGAAATGTTTTAACTACATTTTGGTACCAGTCTTAGGGTTGTCAGCACTATATTAGAAACTTATAGGCTTCTTTAAGAAAAAATTAGAGAATTTTAATAAAGATTTGCTTGTAAGTAATTTAATATTAAAACCCATAAGAAAGTAAATTTGTAAAATGTTAAATAATATCAAGTGCCTTATATGGTTTAAAATACCCCTGTATTGGTGGCTATGCTGTTAAAGTTTAGATTTAAGCAGTGAAAATAACTTCTAATGTGTGGAACATGACGGTAAGGAATTGTTCTCTGATTTTGCAATATGATAATTTTACTAAAATGAATAAACACACGTAATATATAATATGGTGATTTTCGCCCAAACATTGAAATACCCATATATTCATATACGTTAACATGATTCTTACCAAAACTGAAAACGCGCATACGTATGCAAGTTTTTACAAAAAAAACTTAGTGTATACTAAACACTTCTTCATACAGCCCCAACTTTTATAATGGTTTGTGAGGCCTATTTAAAATCATTGTACCAGGAATGTTTTGTACTTTCTGTGGGGACTGAACGTCCAAATGGATAGTAGCAGAACTACTTCTGAGATAGCATGCCCAAAAAAACCTTGGCAGTTACGAACTTCAAACCAGCATTCACTTCTTCTATTAATAGTAAGCAACACCTACTTCTTGTATAAAACAGTAGAGACACAACGACCTCTAGACGTACAAGGCATGGCTTCAAAACCTTTCAGTAAAGCTTTTACAAGTACATGAATGTCACCATTGTTGGTTACTCCGCGCTAGCACAGTTAAACACTTTCGATAAAGTAATGTCAAGATACTTAAAGTTACCTTTAGTTTAGAATATCTATCACGTAATAAAAATTTTATCGTATTAAAACGTTTAAACTACACTGTACACTGTAAATAAGACTTGATAGTCATATAAATACTTTGTATTGAAAACTGCATCACTATATCCAAATGTTCGACAATCTTCTTACTCAAGACGATGAGTCGTATTAAAATGTTGAACAGTATTTCGTACTCGAGACGAGGTGAACATATTTAAATGTTGTACTTAAGATTATGTTGTCTGTCAAAATATTTAGTGATATTTGATAAACAAGATCATTATATTAAATTGTAAAACGTTATGAGGCAAACAGTATCATGGCATTACATCAAAATATTTTAAAATATGCTATACATAAGACTACGCCATTATATCAAAATGTTTAACCATATTGTGTATAAACAGGATCACGTAACTACCTGAAAATGTTCGAAAATATGTTATGTTTAAAACTATGTCATTATATCAGAATATGTAAAAATATTTGTTAGACAGAATGAAGATGTCAGGAATTGTATTTCATCCAGGCAATTATTTATATATTAATAATATTCAACAATAAAATACATATTATGTCAAATTAAGTTTTGTAGGTATATGTCCTATGAAAAGAATTGCCATATGAACAAATATATAGCATAAATATTGCGTGATGTCATATCGCTCAAGTGGAATATTGTAACGTGATAGTTTTAACAATAAAGTCAATTATCACAAAAATTCTGAATATTTCATTTAGCTGAGTAACAAGAGCTATACTGTTTCATGGTTAAGGATTTTATAGTAAAATGTTTTAGTTGGTAACTTATATTTTGCTAAGACCGTGCCTGACCTTACATTGCAGCTAGCTTAGGTCGTTATTTTACTGAAGAACTCCATTAATAAATACATATTTTAAGAAACTTATCCTTTACGTATATATCAACTTAAGACACTCTTTTAGAGATCTGACAACCTAAAATATTTCTGAAGGCATAGCAGCTGGTTACCTGGATATTTGTTAAACAACAGAAGGTACTTTGGAGACACAGCAACTGGTTATTTGGATGTTAAACAGCAGATGATACTTTGGAAACATACCAATGTGAAAATGGTTACTTGATGGCAAATTAACTAAAGAAGGCTACTCAGATGGTAACTTAGAGATATGGTAACCAACAGGTGATTAGTTGAGGAGGAATTAACTAACAAGTGGTTACTTGAGGAGGAATTAACTAACAAGTGGTTACTTGAGGAGAGATTCACTAACAGGTGGTTACATAGGTAATAACTTGAAGATCTGATAATAAGCAGGTGGTTTCTTGAGGACAAAACCTAGTATACACGAATATTTATATCATAATAAGCTGAGTTGAAAAACAATACATCAGACTAGTTTAGTTTCACTCATTAAAATATATTTATTAAATGTAACATATAGATTTAGTGCACACTAATATCGCAACGTATTCCTCAAATCTTGTGCCCAAGTTGTCTAGGATGACTCATTTTCCCACAAACTTCTCATGTTGGAAATTTTTCAAGCTCACTTCGATCGAGGACCTAAGGTCAAGTGATAAAGGTCTACATAATTAAACAGAGCCTAGAAAACGAAAAAAAAATAAATTCCATGGCAAAATAACACAAAAGGCATTTTACTGCCACAGAGATGAACTTCAACTCTTATTTTTTTCGCACTAAAAATGCATTTCTATGTAAAACAATTTAACGTAGCTTGGGCTGTGCTTTGGTTTGCTTCATTTGTCGTTTAGTGTATAATTTATGCTTAAAAAGCACTAGATGCAAATTGAAAAAATGGCATCGTTATCGTTAGAATAATATCAATTTCTGACGTTTACAAGGATTTAATTAGGTGCATGACACAATGTAATACATTCTATGACATAATGAGGACAACCGTTATTTAAATATCATGACAAAAAGAAGTAAACTTACCTTAAATTTACGGTGCGAAGCCCCCATTATGAAATTTACTGTATCAAAACTGACTGGATATTTCTAACGTAAAATATCAGCCGTTTGACTATTGTCGATAGCATGAAATTCAGCACGACCTAGCCAGCTCAAGGTTGCTCTTTTGTACTTTCTCCAATGTAAGAGCCGATGCAGCCGGAGAACGGTCACACTATTTCCTAGCCACTCCCCAGTTTCTAGGCCTAGAACATAGTTTGTCCATGCTCCACTGATGTCTTCCCAGTAGCTTCTTCAAGAATTCTGGGAAATAGTTCCACGAGACCCACCCTAACAGTTTGTGCTTAGAGCAAGCACTAGTAATGGAGCTACAGTCAGAACCCGTGTTGGAAACGTGATCCAGCTGCTCTTTTCGCGCATAGCGCCACGTAAATAGAGTGACTTACATATATAGAAACACTCTTCACCTCGTCGCCTTTTCTTAACAGCGGCTATGGCTTACCAACACCACGTGCGTAGTGCTTCTTCAGACTACACCACATCCTCGTCTACTGCTTGCCTGCTGTTGCTAGTCGCAAAACGGTATATATATATAAGTCATAAACAAGTGCAGTACGCCTCTAACCAGCCTGTGGTTATTGTAAATATTGTAGAAAAAAAGTTAAACTTGGCATGTCGTAAAGTCAGAGCTATAATATAGATAACAATTTTTATGTTTTTTAAGCGCAGTCGAGAAAAGCTACCATATAATTAAACGCTAACGTAATTAGTTTAACTTTACATAGACACCTTCATATGTTTGTTTTTGTTTTGAATTAGTTCTAAACTTTTCGTAGTAAGGAGTTATAAAAACATAAATCTGCGTGTGTTTATTTAAAACATAACACTGCCTAAAAGTTCTAATATACCAATCTTTTTGAAGAATAACAAAATCAATGATTGATTTTGTAAAAGATGTAGCAACTTTTATTCTAATTTCTTTTGGGGGGGGATGTAAGTGTCATAGTTATATCTGATGTTTGAAAGCTTCAAACATTATTATCAATATGATTTTAAACTTGACACCTACCGTGATGAGAGAGAATTGTGATTATTAAAGTAACTTAATAATTTCAGTAGAAGTATCATAGTTCTTGTACTGATTGTTTCGTCAACCAAAAACGTTGACATGTTGATACTAAAAAAATTACAATAATGTTTTCAAATTCTCAAAGATTTGTACACCTCAAATATACTTGTTTTATTACCCAATTGGCCAATAACTATTATCATGTATATTTGAATAGCATAATAAAGAAAAAGATACTAGGGGGGTATTATGAGTTGTAAACTCTTTTAATAAAATGCTTTAGGAAAAAATGGACGAGCAGGGCTTAAAAGAATAACATCACTTACATAATTTGGTTAACCATTTAACTCGCTGTCAATTCTAAATCATATTACAGACAGATTTAAGTTAGAACTCTATGGAGAGTTTGCTCCGATTTATAAAGTAGATTTTGTTCCATAGACATTAAAAAACAGTAAACAAGGAAAAACGGATTTGAAAATACAAGAGAAACTAATGTGAAAAAATACTCCGTTTTTTATAAAAAATATAACAAACAGGAAATCGTTGCCTCTTCTCACACCACGAGGTACTTAGTAAAGGGTTACGTTGTTTATTTAAACAGGAAGTTCATAAACATGTTTCCTGATACATTACAGCATGATTCCCAGTGTTATTTTATTTTATAATTTATAAAGACATTTTGATCTAAATGCTTCCAACATGTTGTTATTAAACCTTGATGTATTTGCAAATAACTATTAGAATCTAAGCGGTCATTGTATTATGAAATAGTTGGTTCTCTAACTCAAACCAGTTGGAACAAATATTTTACAAACAAAGAGTTATCAGGATCTTTAATTAAATTAATCTAGTGTTGAGATATGAAGTTTGGTACCTTTAACAGTAAATAATGCAAAGATCTTTGGCATACTTAATGTATTATTGAGATATTTAGTTGCTTTAATATTCTTAAAAATAAGCAATACAAAGATATTTGGTGTAATTAATGTATTTTTATCTTATGTTAACACTAGTATTCTTAACAAAAATAGTATAAAATATTTTCCAATAATTACTGTATTTTTCGAGTTAACTCTTCACATCAGTCTCAGTAAAAAGTACTGTAATGAGTGAATATCATGACTGTAGCGGTGTAACACTTTTATAATTCATAAAATTAACATATCTTTACTAAGATATATTCAGGTGATTTTTAAAAGTGTTAGTAGAGGTTACGTGTTCTAGTTATACGTTCTATGTGCTATTTATACAGGTGTGAACTATGCTTAATCCTACCCTTAGATGTTCACTCGTATTAGGCCTCAGTATGTGGTCAGTACATAAGGTAAGTTGTTCATTACTTTTAACATCTTTTGGCACTTTGGATATATGCAGAAATAAGTGCGTAAAATCTTTGCTTTCTCTTCTTTTTTTTAATCATAAGCCTAGTCTCCTGTTATGGGTAATATGGCATTCTGGGAAGTCCTGATACAGCTTGAAATGTTATATAGTTTTAAGTGAAGTAAGCGATGAATCAGAATTAATCTGATGATCGATGAGTACAGATATTTTTTGAATTGAGGTACATACAGAGAAGGCATTCAGTTTAAGCACATTTCAATTACATCGTGTATCATTGTTATTTGCAAATAATTTGCTTGAAACTACAGAATGGGCTATATATGCTCTGCCCACTCGAGTAGCGAAATCCGGTTTTTAGCATTATAAGCTCTCAGACTTACCGCTGAGCACCCGGGGCTTTGCAAATAAAGAATTTAGTTTATTGAAATAAATTTTTAAAGTCAATAAACGTGGGATTATAATTTAAATGAAACAAATTTCACAGTTTTTTCACACGTTGTTTGAGGATTCATTTTGTGCATGCTCTCAACTCTAGTAGTTAACAGGCCTAACTAGACTGATGTCAGTCTAAAGTAAATTTAAATTAAGACAAACATCCGATCTAGTTGATTGAAAAACACACATTATAATCACTGATTTTTCTAAAAAATTAATACTGCAGATTCCTCCTAAATTAATCTAAAATGCCATTATTATTATTTCTTAAATATATGTGAATTATCATTTGAACAATACCCAAATTACAAGTCAAATCATCGAATTAAAATAACAAAAAAGTTATAAAAACACTAACCAACAGAATCGGCAACATCTTAAAAACAACAGCCTGGAAATAGAAATCAAGTTTCTTCAGGAAACTTTTCTGGAGAAGATTTTATCCTTAGAATTTAATAAAGTGTACAGTAAAATCCGTTCTCAACAGTATATTCCCATCTTCCAAACTTACAGAAGGCAAGGATGAAATAGCTACCTTACCACATGTACCTAATAGTGGGAAAAACTAAGAAGCATGTTTAAAAATATATAACATCAATGCTGTTTTCAAACCTTCCCCTACTATTAATAAAGACATTCTTACCCTGGTCAGTATAACCTCAAGTCAGCTAAAAATATGGTTTATCATATTACATTATATTAGAGAAACGAAGCGACTCCTTTATATTCGAATATCTGAACATCAAAGAGCTATCAAAAATTACAATAAAGACACATAACCAGCAGCCAAACATGATAGGGAAAATAATCACACCCTGAACTTTGAAAAATAACAACTTCGGGCAAGGATACTAATACGAAGAGAACAAAGAATGCACAAGTTTGTAGTGTCATTGCCATTACAGAACACGCCTATAGCTCCTTCCCTAATGGAATAAATTAATATAATAGGCATCCACTGAACATCGATCTTACTTCTTTCATTTAAAATAACAATGAACTATTCGAAAAATAATTCACATATATTTAGTAAATGGTATAGCAATAATAACAATAATGACATCTTAACCCTTAATATTAAAGGACTTCCGTTTTAAGAGATTTTGTTATACAATTTTTAAATATTGTTTTTAGACTATTCAATGATTATAATTTAATTTCTTTAGTTAAATTGAACACATCACTTGTCACGTTTGAAATCTGCTGCAGACGAACAGCAGTATAGTTGGATCTATGCTAGATAAATGCTTGATGAAGACTTCAGCACTGGAGTTCAAAGTTTCCACCAAAGAAACCCTTAAACAACGTATAAAAAACGCCTGTTCATTCTATTTCATTTCATTAAGTTTTTTTCTTTCTTTTAAGATGGAACACTTGATCAACCCTTTTTATTTTCTCAAGATGAACTCATTTACAATCTGCAAAATACTATAAGAACCCTTTTTTTAGACTTGATACTTTGTTGTCAGCTTAAGTTTCATTTGAGGACATCGAAAAGTCACAAATTAACTTGACCGAGAATTTGTTTTTGCAGAGTCGAGGCTAAACCTTCTTCCTTGATTTTCCATATACTTCCTGTGTATCATTTGAGTGTACATTTTACTGAAATGGAAGGGTCTTGTTTAAAATCATCAATGAAAGTGAGAGTGATGTCTAAGAATGTATAATGGTTTAGAAAAACTTCTTTCCTATTTGAAACACTTACATGGGAAGACGTACCCTAGTAGGACATCAGCAGATCATGAAAGGATCCTCACATACAGTTTCATTGAGAGACTGCTGAATGAACCCATGTTACATAAAATGGTTGCCAGAGGCAGACTGCGTAAATAAAAATGGTCACATCATTAACAATATTAAGGTGGAAGCATATAGTGACCAATGAATTTATCGTGCTATTGTTGTTGTCTCTGACAGAAAGAAAATGATTGTCTCTGACCTAGCACAGATATTGCTATGTTAGGGATGAGTCTGCCTCAGGAATTACCAGCCTGTGGAACATGTGAGCTGCAGATCTTGTGTAAAACCACACATATCTGTCAGAACCTGGAAACAAATAGCTCTATGAGTACATACCAAGGATGTGTGTCACGGTGTCTCCAAATGTACACAGAATAAACAACGTTTTTTTTCAGAAACAAAGATGCTCTTGCTTGGAAGCTATTGATTTGAATGCTGTGTGCAATTGTAACCATAAGGCTATTCAGCTTCTAACTGTTTTCAGCATGGTAATACGGCTTTATAGTTAATGTTGATTTCGTTGCACCACAGTCCAAAGCAAACTTGTGACTATTAAACCCCCTGATATAACAAGCTGAATATTGTACATACTTGGAAAAGTGAATATAATTTAGCAGACTGCTTAGGAATTTTTCAGTGATTTTGTAGATATAACATGTAGAATAAAAATAACATGACGACAAGTTATGTACGTACGATAAAAAAATACATTGGACAGAATTCCTTAGTGTACCACTGATGTCGTACTATTGGATTTGTTCACTCTGTTTATAGGACTGGAAAGGCTAGAATAACAACTGCTTAACCACAAGTAATTTATGTTTGATAAACATAAAACATTTAACAGGCTTCCATAGTACCCCAGGAGTGTTGTAAACCTTAAGAGAGCTTTCAGTACTCAAAATTTCTTTTATGGCTTTTATG